TGTTGTAATTTTACTCTCAATCCTATACATTGTATTGGTCACATTTTTCATGGTGAATTAAACTAATCTTTTCACTCTGACATGTGAGGCTTCTTTGTCTCAAGAAAGCTAGTTCTTCATAGGTGCATGGAAGCAGAACATGTGCATGTATACACAAAAATATATTGTATCATGTTCACCTTCATCATGTGTGTTTCTTAACTTTCTTTATATTGTACAACATGTACTTTCAATCAACCCAAACTGAGCTTCTAGTCTTCTACAGTAACTGTTCCTATCTTCCTGAAGACTTGACTCCACTCTTCTACAGTGGTGAATTTGAGATATAATGGCATATGTTGACATTTCCATACTGCTAGCTATGGGAAGCTCCAAATATTGCATACACCAAGGGTAGAAACAGTTCTCTTTATTTTACAGGCTCTGTTGTGATGGTATGCGTGAAAGTATCTACTTTCACAAGATTCAGCACCACTGATTGTAAATGGCAGTAACTTTTATAACTATTCAACCTAGAAATAGTGTCTTCAGTGTTCAGACCAACTCACCTTGTATATGAGAGTAGAGATCGTGTATGTATGGCAAATGTCTTCTTTCTAGGGTAAAATAGTTTGTCGTTAACATGTTTCTATAGTGATTGGGTACTTAGTTAACAAGATCTAAAAAAAATATGGGTTATCTCTTGTGCACCAAGGAAAAGGTGCAAGCAGGTTAAATATGCACAAGGGATTTTTAATAGGGAAATTTTTGTTTTTTGTACATCAATGTCATTCATTGTTCACAATTAATTGTTTCTCGTTCTTTGGATACCTAGTACCTTGGCTGTAGATGTTAACTACAATAACAATAAGAATTTACCTGACCTTCCTAAACGGAAAACTCCGACCCAATTTTTCCTTCAAAGACTTGCATCCAGAATATTCAAGTCTTGAGCTCTTGATTTGTGTATTTCTCCTTGGGTAGATCCCGTATAAAATCGGCGATCTGACCAGAAACATGGAGGCGTGCTCGTAACGCTGAGGTACCGATGTAGGACTGAGTTAGCAACGTACGTGGAAACGTACGTGTACGATTACGATACTGCGTGAATACGATCTATTTGAGAACTTTCCAAGCCTCTGACAGCTTAATACATCAGTCATTAGAAATGGGTAAGTACTACGATGATGGGTAAGTAAATTGGTAAGAGGTAGCGGGCCGAGAAGTTGGAGCTTCGGCGCCGGAGGTAACGTTACATGTGAAAGTGCTGATAGAGGTGAGTGAAGTCGCGCTTGAGTCAGTGATCGTGGTGTTTCTCGTAACAGATTGCTTCAGCATATGGCAAATCTAGCTTATATGTATGCAGGTATTAATAAATAATCCGTGTTTAAGAACGCAAACGGTTTCCAATTCCTGCGGGAAGTGAAAAACAGGCGAGATCCAGGCGTTGACTGGGAGCCGTCGCCATCTTGGTTTTGGGGTCAAAATTACAGGTCATCGCTAGTGCGCGTGCGCACTGTAGCTAGTGACGCAATCTCGGCCGTAGCCTAATCTGGACACATTCTGTACTGATTGTAGTCGGACGGAAAGCAGCTGTTTGGAAGAGAGTTCCATAATTTTGCAGTCCGGAGAAAGAAGCTGTTGTAAAATGACTTGGAGACAGGTATATTAACGGTGTATTGATGAGAACTGGAAGAGAACCTAGACCCCAACCTAGTGGCACGCTGAAAGGTTCTGAGCGGCGGAACAA